TGATGTGAGTCTATATAGAATGTAAAAATTTTTATTCAAAAAGTATCTTGTGTTATCATCAACATTATCAAGCTTCCATAATATATTAATATTATGGTAATGTTTTCTCATCATAAGAATCTCATTGTATCAAATATACTAAGATCAGTTGTATACTCATTGCTTCTAAATGTTTCTGGTAATAATGAAAATGTTATTGGTAATATGAACCCACTTGCTATAGCAATAATCTAAAAGACCTAGTGCTAATCTAATGTTTCAGTAATATACCCACTACATACCGATCCAATCATGAACCCTAGCAATAGACCACTGTAAAATATTCTCAAAGCACGACCATGCTCCTTTTTATCAAACATATCATTTACACTACTGGCTGGCACACTAAGGAATGCTGATGTACTACATGATTGTATAGATCTTAAAACCAGAAGTAACTATATATTATCAACAATAGCCGATAAAACACTTGTAACTAAAAATATCACAATTGCAATTTGATAAACATGATTTCTCGTCTTGTAACGTTCAGAGTAAATGGACCAAAACAATAGTCTAGTGGTGAGCATAAATATATACACACCTATTAGAGAATTTACAAAAAACTTAGTAGTTTGTAATCCAGCTTGTATTTCATATAACACAGAATAAAGAATCGATAATGATAATAATGATAATGAAGATATAAACATTGTAAATAACAAACAAAAATATTTTCTTTTATTAGACCAACATTTAAGATCAATAATAATTGGGTCTATGATAAACTTTATTAATTACTTAAAATTGATTTGGCAACTGCCAGTTATATTTATACTATTCTTATCTATTTTAACTACTGGCTCAGAATAATTATCACCTTTACTAACTAATATACTTTTTATTTTATTAATTATTGGGTTCATAAAAGGATTATTAACTTGAACCAGGACACCCTTCATCCTATGTATATCATTGAAATATTTCTTTGGTTCACTTTCATAACTTTTATCACAATATTATGCAATATTTTTGATTTCCAATTCACTGTTCAAACCGGGAGTTGAACTCTAACTAAATGATCCTGTGATAGTTAAACTATGAGTTTTAAATATATGATTTTTTAACTCTTCAAAGTTATTAAATATTACACATTCTTTGCACTTGAAGCACGAAATGCTACCTGCTATTGGTGTAACAAAAAGTGAATAGCAATAGTCACCGTATGAGTTTTTAGGTGTTCATCTAATTGTTCACTTGTCAATTTATTGAAAATAGCATTATATTCTTTACAGATAATCTTTTTATTATCTTGAACTATAATTTTATTAACTTTTGATAATAATTCTGCCAATTCAGCAAGAGCCTGATTATTCTCATTATGAGAATAAGGTATCTATTTCAAATGGTCATATGAAGGGAGATAAGATGTATTAGAAGTATCCATGGAATCATATTGTTTAAAGGTGTTGTTCATATTCTACTGCCTATACACCAGATAAAAATTTTCACAATGATTATTTATAATGATTCATGATGATACAATGTTTGTTTGATCTTCATAGTATGAATTTATAAATAGTTGCAACATTCCTATGCCAACTATGATTATGACAAATTGTTCTACAGACAAAAGTGAGAGAGCCGTTGCTATGTTTCCTTTCATTATCATCCAATACCTGAATGTTTCACTAACCCTCACTTCTCGCTACATAACCGATGCTAAAATAATTATTTTTTGTTCTAGAATCAAGACACAGCTATCAAACTATGATAAATATAACTCTTAAATGAATTGACTTGCTACTACATAATTATTCTGAAACATTCCAATTATTAGAATAAGAATTTAAATATCTATTGTGAATATTTTTTTAACAAGTGTTAACATTTACAGATTAATCAGAATTCAAAAATTTGTTCATCAAGCTAATCTTTTTGTTTATCTACTTATCGTGAATGTATAAATAAATACCATATCCACTTTACTAATAACAAATATTTCAAAGCTCAATATGCTACCCGTGAGAAACCAAGATGCAAAAAAACCTAAAACTTTTGTGCAAAGTACACTTTTTTTTGAAGGTAATAAACTTTGTCCATGTAAGGAGGTGTTTGTAATAGTGATCAAACAATCTAATAAAATATTGATACAACTCTATAAGAATTACAGCAACCAGGTTATACATATTACCAAGGGTGAACTAAATAACAAAGAATCATACAAATCCATATTGTTAAAATTCTACGAGATAGTATCAAATGACAAGAACTCTTCAATAAAATTTAGAATCATAACTTCTAATACAAATTTAGTAAACGAATTTAATAGATCACAGGATGAAAAATATAATATGGATTTATGTGATCAATTATCACATTACACAACTACATATAGGGATCGCGTTGAAATATATCATGATCCACAAGGATCTTACCAAAGAAGGATGAACCATCAAAACATTTTATTAGGATGGTAGTAAATCATTATCAAATCAAAAACATTCAGATAATTAATCATGTTTTATTACTAGTAATACAAAAAAAAAAATAAAATCATCTGATACCAAATGTACTTTATTAAAATATATTTACAAATGTGACTGGCTAGTCGATTAAAAAAAAAAACTAATACTAATAAATAAAATTAAAACAAACCACCTGTCTCTATTATCTTAAATGTGTCACGTATTATATTAGGGCTAGGATATTTTATCATCTTAATATTTGAAAAAAATATCACTATATCCTATTCAAACGACTCTATAGAATCTCTAATGTCCAACAACTGCCTTATCTGCTCCTTTATTATTACTTCATACTTCTCCACCAACTCTCCATGATGTTGAAACTCTTGAACGTACTCAACGATATTGACACAGACCCTGAAAACAAAAAGAAGGATGATAAGGGTAGACAAGATTTTCCAGATTCTTGAAAGTATCGAATTTATTTGTCTAAATTAATCAGATGATAAATTAAAATATCAATATTAAAATAAAAATAAGAAAAAATATACCTTCTACTGTAACTTCTTGAGAGTTGCAAGAGTGGGGTGTAGAACAAAATAATTGCGTTATGTGAATTAGACATTGTAATTTTATTTTCTATTGTAAAAAAAAAAAAGAATATACTCATCTCAACCCAGAAAACGGCACTTATAAAACTATTTCTTCAATTAATCATTCATGTTATTCATATCATAAACTCTGATAAATCAAAACAATAAATCAATCAATCGCATCATTATCCATGTAATCAATTATCATCATTTCACATAACGTTAACATCTTTCATGTTTGTAGCATAGCTGAACATTAGTAAAGCATAGCTTAGGTGTAGTGTATTACACCACACCTAAATTTTATTTCAGTGAAGAGAGTAGTAGTGGGTGAGTTACCATTGGCCAGTGGTCGCTAGGCCAATGGTAACAATTTACCAATAGTAGCCCAGTGGCCACTAGTAGCTACTATTGGTAATTAATTAGACAATATACAATTATTAAAGTAATTATAAATCAAAATTATTTATTTTTTCTATAACACCAAACAAAATGAATTTCGAAAAGGACTCTATTGATAAAGTTTATATTGGTCATTGTTTTAATGGACCTAATAATACTTATTATTGAATTGTAAAAGTTATTAAACATGATATTAATAAGAAGGTGGTTTCTGTGGTTGTAGATAATAAGGCTTCACATAGAATAGTCAATAAAGAATTTATTCTTAAAAATGATTCATTAATTATTTATGATTACGAGAATAGGTATTGGTCAAATATTAGATATTGTGTTAAGGTTATCAGAAGGTATTGTGAAGCACAGTTGTATTATGATGAAACTGGAAATTTTTATTTTCTTGATGATATATTTGCATTCAATGATTTGTATATTTCTATTTTGTCTTATTCTAATGATTTTTGTATTAGATATCAACTTTTTACTGATGATAAAACTAAGGGAATAAGCCGATCCAGGAGTTTAAACAATTTGAGGATTATTTCGATAAAATGAATGTTTGTGATGAGATTGTACATTAATTTCTATTTAAAATTATAAATTTGTTTTTTTTTTTTTTTTTTTTTTTTTTTTAAGAGAGGTCTTTCCTCTATTCCTTTATTTCAAAATATATAATTGGATAC